TGAGCCTATCATTCATCACATTTCAGAGCTTGTTTAAATGCCATGTTGCCATGTTTTCATCTCTTTAAATGCGTTTGAGAGTCGGGCTTGTATGCCCCATTTACCAACCATTGAATGAGCTCCATTTCGTCGCATTCTGAGCCATCATTTTAGGTCAATTTCCCACCATTTCGGACCTACCTAGGGTCGGTTTCGGGTTGGTTTTGCTTTTGATGCATTGCTTCAGGTACCTCTAGTGTAATGCACTTCACTAGTTTCGGTACCCGGTCCCCCCTAGGTTGCATTGTGTGCCATGTTTGCGTTTCGGGACCATTCCGTATCATGTTTCCGTGCTGGAAATTGCATGTTAGCATGCCATATTTCATCCTTTTCCATGCCTTTGTAGAGTGGCATTTCTTGCCTTAGGTTCGGTCCTTGGTATTTGTGCATGTGTGCACGCATTTCGGTTGTCTCATTTCCATCTAATGGTGGCTGAGGTCCACTCATGTTGGTGTAAGTCCCTCGTGCATTGTGTATGCCATTTCGGTCCATAGCATTGTGTATGCTGAGTTGCATGTTAGAGCATTATGTATGCCATGTTAGATCGTGCATTGTGTATACCATTTCGGTCCATAGCATTGCGTATGCTAGGTTGTATGTTAGTCGCATTGTGTATGCCATCTCATTTACATTGTGTTTGGGATAGGAGTTAGCCCAAGAACGGAAAACGAGGGACGTTTCATACTCCGAGCGACGGAACGTGTCTCAATTCCCGGTCGCCGACACTCTGGATTACCCATGATGGAGTTTATGTCTTGTTGTGTTTTCATGTGCATTCATTTCACATCGAGTCATGTAATTCGACTCCTCGGCCATCATGCATCGAGATGCGTGATTGATGGCACGAGGATCAAGGACTAAACTCCCTGAAGAGTAGTCATGCATACATATGTGAAAATACTTTGCTGTGTCCCTTTCTTGCTCTCTGTTGTAGCAAATAAAAAATCAGCAGCTTTCTAAAGCCTTGCATAGCATTCCAGGATTAATTGCAAACAGAGGTGAATCAGGGCATCGCAATAGATTTTCGCGCCAGACAACTCAAGCATGCATCATTCATCATTCGGAACAAGAGCTGAGGCAGTCCATTTTGGAGCTTGCACGCTATTTACTTGCTTTCCTAGTTAAATTGTTATTTAATTTGGGTTTTGTAAGGTTTAATTATTCATTCGGACTGTATTATTTATTCGGACCCTCCGAGCGAGGGCAATGTTGTAATAAGTGTGTGTGAGTGTGATGTATGTCTTCCAACCCCACGTCTTTCTCCTTTTTATTTACCAGCTTATGATGGTTGGATTAGGACATGTTTCAATTAGCATACTTATGCTTGCATGTTTGCATCATTCATCTGTATTGCATGCACCGGGCTCGGCGCCTCATACTAACTGCATTGTATTTCAATTCCGAGTTGAATACTTGTTAGTTGTAGCATTTCACATGCCATCCTTAGAATAGCCGAGCCTACTATAGTTGAATTTTGCATGTGTTGCATTAAGCATTTCTGTATATTCAGGATCATGCATGATTTCTAATCAGCTTCTGTTTTGGCTTGGAGTACTCCGTAAGTGTTTATGCTTTAGCATCCTTACATGAGTGTGAGTGTTGCCATGATAGCATGCTTACTATGAGGCTATGTGCTTATGTGATATACCTGCCTGAATGCCTGTGGGTGAAGGTTGGGATATTTGGATTGGAATAATTCATCAATTGTGAGTTTTAAGCCCACTAGATAGTGGCAAATCATCTTGTTTTCTAAGCCCACCTGAGGGTGGCAAATACACATTTTAGCCTACTTGCGAGTAGCAAACCGTTTTCAAAACAAACATGAGATGTTTCGTTCCAATTCAGGCGATCTAGTCTATACTTATATACTGTGCGCATCACATAGTAAATCCAGGCTAATAACCGGAATAAGAATGCATAATGTTTTCAAAACCCGATATCATGGTTAGTAGAGGCTGGTCTTTGATCGGGCGAGTGAGGGTGCTCACGAAGTGACCTTCCCCAATCGTACCCAAGTTCCCGAGCTAAGGCAACTTTGGTGATGACGGACACGTGGCTTTAGGCAACGACTTAGCGTTTCCTAAATTTCCCAAAATAAAATATTTAGGTGGCGACTCTGTATCTGGCAAAGCAGTCCGTGTTTGGCACTTCTTTCAAAAAAATCTGTTTTCAAAAATGATTTGTCGGATTTGGACTCTTTGATGATTCATCGGTCTTCCATTGCACTCTGCGAGATTTGATACAGGACCGTGACAATTTGAGTCCGAACTGTAGTGAGCCCAAATGAACAGAACGGGATTTCCCTCTCGGGACGTTCGGGGACGTCTACACATTGTCACGACCCGAACCCGCCCCCGTAGGTTAAGGACATAACCGGCCAGTAATTATGAGATTACCTACGGCCTCAAACCAAACCAGACGTATTTTAACAGAGTTAACGAGGGCCAAACGGAAGCAATTTAAAACTTTGTCCATTGAGCCGTGCTTATGTGCACATCATAACACTCCATACATACATATGTTAATAACTCACAATAGAAAGTATAGTAGCATAAAGTTCTATACAGACAGGATCATTCAAATCTAAGTCAGCCAAAACAAAGCTATATACAGACGTACTCAAAGACTTCACCAACATGACAATATAAAACAAAATGACAAAAAGGCGAAGACGAGTCTCGTGCGTGAGACGCAAGGGCTGACTCTTCAAAATCTTTGTTGTTCCACACAGACTTCACTGGGGCTGGGTTTGGACTTCCCTTGGCTCACCTACAAACACATGAATGAGCGTGAGCGATAACCCAGTGAATAATATCAAATAAAAGGGTTATACAAACGGTACGTAGAACAACATGCTTCAAACGGCCTTGGGCCCAATTCATATTTCTATTTAACATATATATGTACACAATTTAAGTCAAGTGACTATGGTTCCAAACATACTGGCCGTTGACCCATTTATCTTCCATTTGTCAAACTGGCCTTTGGCCCATTCAGATTTCCATGTCAAACTGGCCCTTGGCCCATTCAACTTTTATTCATGTCAAACTGGCCTCTGGCCCATTCATTCATGTCAATCGGCCTTCAGCCCAATCATTTATGTCAATCGGCCTTTGGCCCAATCATTCATGTCAATCGGCCTTTGGCCCAATCATTCATGTCAATCAGCCTTCGGCCCAATCATTTATGTCAATCAGCCTTCGGCCCAATCATTTATGTCAATCGGTCATTGGCCCAATCATTTATGTCAATCGGCCTTTGGCCCAATCATCTATGTCAATCATTTGTATCAGATCACTATTCGTATCAGACGGCCTTTGGCCCAATACTTAGCATAACAGATATTTGTCCCCAATTTAGTATAGCAACTTACAAGACTTATATAAAAGTAAGCAATTGGACAAATAACATACTTTAGATATCTTTATTAAGATATTACTCACAGTGATCGGCTGATTGATTTGCCCTGGAGCTTGACCCTACACATCACATAACACATATGGGCCACAACCGATCCAATCCATTCTTAATTCACATATTCCTCTTTAGGCTCAATTCTTATTCTTCTAACTTATTTACAAGGCTCAATGTATGCCTAAGAGTGCTTAGCAGTGAAAGGGAACGGAAAACAGAACACAGGATGCGTTTTCAAAATTTCAGAAAACCGGGTCCCCGCTCGAGCATGGACTTCCCCGCTCGAGCGGACCCGTGAGGTCTGCAAAAGTACTGGATATGTCATTTCTACACTCGAGCGTCAAGTCTGGAGCTTGAGCGGAAGGCCTCGCTACATGGCTCCCCGCTCGAGCGTGAACTTCCCCGCTCGAGCGGAAGCCCATGTCTGCAAAAATGCTGGGAGCCCGTTTTTCCCGCTCGAGCAGCGGTTTCCTCGCTCGAGCGAACACCAAAAATTCTGGGTTTTCCAGCAATGCTCTTGAGCTCACATTCAACATTCAAAAGGCTTTAAGCTTGAACTAAGGCACCAAAAATATGCAAATACATCAAATAATACATGGATGTAAAATATGCAAATCCAAAATCATGGTCCAATTCTTCAAATTTAATCATCCTTCTTTTTGTATGATCAAAATCCATACATTCAAACTTCATACTAATTTCATAACCCCTTCAATCATGCATGCATGTAAACTTTGACTTCATTTCTATTCCAAATAATGCAATTGGTGTCCATTCTCATGGAACTCAACAAAAACATGCTTGCATGTATGTTTTAACACTCATTTTTCCACATTCAACTTAATACATGCTTGATTATGTAAAATCATGGTGATCCTGTACATGCAAGTGCATTTTTAACTTCAAATTCATCAATTAAAGCACAACTCTTGTTCTTAATCACCAATTAATCTTTAATTCACAAATTACAAGTTAATATTCGTGAATCCCTTTACCTAGAGGCTCAAACCTTTCAATCCAAAGCAATTTCTTGAGTAATCTTCCAAAATCTCCAAGCCTCAAGAACAAAACCTCAATCTTCTACACCTTCCCTCTCTAATTCGGCTCTCCCTCTCCTCTCTTGGAGTTGATTTCGACCAAATGAAGAAAAAGAGAGGGGTTGGTGTAAGATGCTTCACTAAATACCATTTCACTTAATTACAATCATCAACATTACATATTTGAGCACTAAGTCATTATTTTAATCCAATTAATTTGATCCGAATCAATTTCCAATTAAATTTCACCGTAGGCTCTAAAAATTATGCCAATCACAGTGGCGTAATCAATTTCGAGTTCTGTGGCCGATAAGGCCTTCAATTTAATTCCCAAAGCAGATAAGCAAACAGATATTCCTACGGTGAACAGATAGAAATTCAAAATCACACATTTTCACATAATGGCACACAAAATTATATTAGACATATGATCAAACTCATAATAAGGACCAATTAGCTAATTACGGAACAGGGTTATCACAAGCATAGTACGGAACATGGTTATCACAGCAAGCCTCCAAGGCACCAGTGTACCAAACCGAGCCTCCGTTCGAATTCGAAGTTGACCCGACTATACTGAAGGTTAATAAGCTGAAGAAGCTTCTCAAACGAACACAGGGTGTGAACTCAATCCCCGACATCGAAGATGGATACACCGACTCCGCGATAACTTTGCCAAATCGGTTTAAAATGCCACACATAGATCGGTTTGATGGCTCTAGGGATCCCATGGTCCATCTGGGGTTGTTCTCTGAAATCCTATGGCCGATGGGCCTTACTAGACTTCAAAAGCTGCCACTTTTCGGCCGGACCTTGTCAAGAATAACAGCTATCTGGTATGCAAAGCTGGAGGACTCTGTGAAGCGGAGCTGGGAGGAAATAGCTGAGGCTTTCATCGCACAGTACTCCTACAATACCCAGATCGAGGTCATAGCCCATGATCTTGAGGCAACCAGTCAGGAGCCAAAAGCGGGCTTCTCAGACTTTGTGACTAGGTGGAGGGCCAAGGCTTCAATGATGACTACCAGGCCATCTGAGAAGGATCAAATCAGGATGGTGGTCCACAATCTGCAAGGAAAATTATTACAGAAGATGATTGTCTTGCCATTGTTCACATTCACTGAGCTCTATGAGATAGGTGCTCAGATTGAAGATGCAATGAAACAGGGGTTAATAGCCAATGAGAAGAAGTAGCCTAAGAGGCCTTTTACGCAGTTCTAATGCAACCACTAGGGGAAGCACAACTGCACGGTCATTTGATGTGAATGTTGTCACCATTACAGCCAAGACCACCAACCCATTCGCCGGTACAAATCCACAAACTTCAACTAACCAAGCACGATCTCAAAGGGTCTTTACCCCGCTCTATATGCCTTTATCCAAAGCCCTGGGGGTGCTGATAAAAAAGGGACATCTTAAGCCATTTGAGCCTCGCCCACTACCCGATCCTCTCCCACCTAAACACAGCCCAGCCAAATACTGCTTATTTCACCAGTAGCACGGTCACGACACCGACCAATGCTATAGGCTGCGTCATAAGATTCAAGATCTCATCGACAACAAGGTGATAGCACCACCCCAAAAGCCAAATGTAACCACCGACCCTCCTCCAGCCCACAATCAAGTTTCCCCACCTCAGAACTTAAACTTAAAACATGCACTGGCCATCCCATATGACCCTAGCGTATATATTACCCCTTTCCACCTACCCAAACTGTCCATGTTCATCCATGAAAGCACGGACTTGTGCATGATGGACACTTCCATACTTTAACCTGAATCTGTGGTGGTGACAATGGCAGAAGGAGGGAGGTTGACCTTGGAGGAAACTATCAGTCCATTGCTTGAGAGCTTTACAGGCTTATCAGAAGGGATTTATGACCCATGTTGTTACAATGTGCCAGTTGATCAAGCCAAGCCCAAAGTGGTATTGCCGACAACAGTGGAGGTCAATGTGGTTAGAGAGGATGGCCCAAGTCATGGACTGGGTGATCTGGCGGAGCTAGAAGAGGACTTAGACAATCTACAGTCCTATGACGAACAAGATTAGGGGGACGTGCAGATTGACTGGTTTGATCTGAATAAGTCGACGGACAACTCTGTGTGGCTTAGTGATGAACCTGATCTGGAGGAAGGAACTAAAACAAAACCGAAAGAGATGGAAGCATGAATAGCCGCAGTGGCCAGAATGGCTGAGGAAAAGGGGAAATTGCCAGAGAGCACCGGCATCAAGAATTGGATGTCGTGAGTACCGTGAATATTGAACAGGAAGCAGCGTTGAAGCGGTTTATACAAGAAAGGGATCAAGATAAACAAGAAGCTAGAAAAGCCCAATGCTTTGCGGGGGATACTTTTGATGAGGGAATGATCAAAATGGAGTCGGACAACTGTTTGTCGGCTGCCGAAGGTGTATGGTGGGAAGATGATGATCTACATCTGGCCCACACTAACGAGGATTGGGGTGAAGACCTGCTAGACAACACCTGGTTCTCTAAAGAGGTTGATCACATGACGAGGAGTGGGCGGTATTTCAGGCCCCCACATTTAGACCAGGCTGAAGCCTCCGGCAAAGATAAAGACGTAGAGAAGCAGAAGGGAAAACATTTAGAAGAAGTGGTGGTGCTGAAGCTGTTAAAGAACATTCAAGCTGATAGTTCAATCTGGGGTCTGCTTATGGCTTCTTGAGTGCATCGACAGGCTGTGCTATCAGAAATGGATAAAGCAAAACTGTCTATTGACACCATTCCTGAACAAGTTATGGGACTAGTTTTCCCAAGTGGTGCCAATCTAACCCTAACCTTCTCCAAGAAAGAACTGCTGCCGGAAGGCTTGGCACACAACAAACCTCTGTACATATCAATGGAATGCAGAGAAAAGTGGGTACCAGTGGTATTGGTTGACACCGGGTCAGCAATCAACATCTTCCCATCCCGTATAGCTTATGTCATCGCCCTGAAACTAGCACATTTCGTGCCTACAGGCTAGGTGATTCGGGTGTATGATAATACTAGCAGAGAGGTTACGGGCACGGTATAGATTATAGGTCAAGTGGGCCCAGCTCAATAGGATATTGAGTTCAATGCCCTGGATGTGCCGGCCACTTTCAATCTACTACTAGGGAGGCCCTAGGTGCACCAAGTGAAAGTTGTCTCTTCTACCCTCCATCAAATACTGAAATACCCTCATGGGAAGGAGGTGGCTATTGTGTTCGAAAATTCATCTATACATACTCCGCTAGAGGTAACTACACCTGTGCTGGAAATTGTTCATGGTGAGGAGGATGTATTCCTTTCAGGGTTCACTCTAGTTGAGGCCCGAGCAGTGCAAATCATTTTGGTAGCTGATGAGGGCTTGTATGTTAGTGCCCAATCCATCTATTTCATGAATAAGCTCTAACATGTGCCAGGAATGGGGTTGGGAAGAAGTGGTCGGAAAGGCGTCACAGCATTGGCTGATGTGCCACATAATCCACATGCATTTGGTCTTGGCTATACGCCCACCAAAGAGGATTAGATTAGGAAAGAAAAAGAGATGATAGGCAGAGCCAAAGCTAAACAGGTCGGGAAACGCTATGAGCTTGTACATAGACCAATTTGGAGAACCCTGAATGGTCATTTTGTTCGGGAGGGTGAAGGCTTCTCATTTTGCGGTTTCCTCGACCCCTGGTTCAAATTTGAGAAGCAGCGTGTTCCCGGATTTGAAATTTTCTTCGACTTGCAGCTGTAAGACAGTGATACAGAGGAAAGGGCTGAGCCAATTACTGCTAAAGTTGAGAAGAACATGGTAAATAACTCAAGTAGCAACAAACTTGAAGTAGAGGCAGCATTGGCATGTCTCCTTTCAGATCCTCTGATCGACTCAGAGAGCTTGAGGGATAACCTGACCATCTCCATTATCGGGGACCAACCGGGTGTGAACCCTTCTAGCAACATTTTGGATGCCTCTGAAGCACCATCTCTCATTTGGCAAATGGATGAGGGCTACCTATCTAGTAGTTCTGAGTCGGGTAGTGAGCCAGAATCTAATTCCACAAAGTTTGTGGAGTCGGAATCAGATTCCGGTTCTTCTGAGTCTAAGTCCGGTATTCCCGGGGGTGATAAGCCGGATGCCAAGGTCTTGTCCAGGTCGTCTTTTTCTTTTGCTTTTGAGTCAGTTGTAACGGAAAAGCTGGATGAGCTGGACTTTCTAGATAAGAATGCCACTGCAGATTCTGAGTATTTCCTTGTGCTGCTTGTTTATTGCATTGATCAGGATTTTCAAAATTTTAATGAAAACGAAGAGGAAGGAATTCTTTTGGTTTTGAAAATTTTGATTAATCGGTAGAAGGAGAGGTTTGCAAAACCCCTTGCTAATGAAATCATTGTTTTTAATGTGGGTACTAAAAAGGATCCGCGTCTGGTCCAGATCAGGTCCCCGTTGTCTTCGGAGGAGCGCGAACGCTTAGTCGCTTTATTAAAAGATTTCAAAGATGTTTTCGCGTGGTCCTACGAAGACATGCCTGGAATTGATCCTGAGATTGTACAGCATCAGATCCCTCTTGACCTCGAGGCCTGACCCGTCAAACAGAAGTTACAGAGAATACGCTCGGATTGGGCTTTGAAAATTAAGGGAGCAGTCACCAAACAGATTGAGGCAGGGTTCTTACTTGTGTCTGAATATCCAACGTGGTTGGGCAACATTGTTCCAGTCCCGAATAAGGATGCAGAATCAGAGTCCATGTTGACTTCAGGGATCTGAATAAGGCTAGTCCGAAGGATGATTTTCCCCTGCCACATATTAATGAATTGGTGGATTTCACCGTGGGTCATGCATTGCTCTCTTTCATGGATGGATTTTTTGGGGTATAACCAGATTTTGATGGTGCCCGAGGATAGAAAGAAAATCGCCTTCACTACACCGTGGGGAACCTACTGCTATCGGGTGATGCCGTTTGGGCTGAAGAATGCTGGGGCTACCTATCAAAGGGATGCACCCACAATTCTGCATGATATGATCCATAAAGAGGTCGAGGTGTATGTGGATGACATGATTGTCAAGTCCAAAGAAAAATAGGGTCACTACACCGCCTTGAAGAAATTTTTTCAACGGATCAGGGAATACAGACTGAGGTTGAATCCGCAAAAATGTACTTTCGGCATAATAGTAGGGAAAATGTTTGGTTTCTTGATCACACAAAGGGGCATCGAGAAAGATCCTTCCAAAATCAAGGCCATCCTAGAAATGCCACCACCAAGGACTGAAAAGGAGGTGAGAGGCTTTCTGGGTAAAGTGCAATTCATAAGACGGTTTATTTCAAAATTAACCTTGACTTTGTGAACCACTATTTGGTCTCCTGAAGAAAGGAAATAAATTTCGGTGGGATGATCGATGTCAATTCGCCTTTAAGCAAATCAAGCAGTGCCTTCAGAATTCGCCTATGCTGTTGCCGCCAGAGCCGAGGAAGCCCTTGATTCTATATCTGTCAGCCACCTACACAACAATGGGATATATGCTTGCTCAGGAATCTAAGGATAGGGCAGAAAAAGCCATCTACTATTTGAGCAAGAAAATGCTGAACTATGAGACCGTTACACCCCACTGGAAAAAGCTTGCTTAGCCTTGGTATGGACTACCAGGAAGTTGAGGCACGACTTGTTAGCTCACTCCGTAATTCTGATTTCAAGATTAGATCCTATCAAATATCTCTTCGAGAAACCAACGCTTATAGGTAGGCTAGCCTGTTGGTTGCTGCTCCTCTCAGAATTTGATATGAAGTATGTCACTCGCAAGTCGGTCAAGGGGTGAGCGGTAGTGGAGTTCCTAGTAGATCATCCAGTAGAAGGAGATAAGGTGGTAGAATACATGTTCCCAGATGAAGCCATTCTGCAAATCGAGGAAGAAATTTGGACAATGTACTTTGACGAAGCGTCTAACCAATACGGTTATGGGATATGTGTGTTGCTGATAGCACCAAACAATTCCCATATACCTTTAGCCTTCAAACTCCTGTTCAAGGTATCCAATAACGAAGCAGAATATGAGGCGCGTATCGCTGGTTTGGAAGCCGCCCTAGAACTAGGGGCAAAAAGGTTGGATGTCATTGGGGATTCGAACCTGGTTGTGTCTCAAGCAAATGGAGACTGGAAGGTCAAAGAAGAAAAGATGAAGATCTATCACCAAACCTTGGATGTTCTGATTCCTAGGTTTGAGAAGCT